CGGGGACCAGAAACTTCTCGAATTCGTATTTAAGTCGCCCGAGCCGTTGCCTCTTTCCCTCGGCTTGCCACAGTCTCTTTTTCCCTCTAACTTCCACTTAAGCAACCACACTGGTTTAATGTATCGGCCAAAAGTATCCGCTGAGGTTCAAACCACTCGTCCTGCCTGGCGGCAGCTGGCAGAACACGTTAAAAAGCAGGCGTTCTACTTAGACGCCTAAAATGCCACAGCAACCACCATCCGTCGCTCCCAGAACCTATGAGAGGAAGGCTCTTCTCTGCTTGAAAGGGGAGCGATGACGTCATCAAGCGGCGACTCTGTGCCGCCAAGGTCCTCGAAACGTGCGAGGGGGTCTATTTGAGGCTAGTTTAGGCTAGTGGGCTGGCCATGCGAGGGACTGAGGGCTTTGGGGAAAGCGTGAAGTACGGAGAAGGTGGAGGGAGAGGGGAGTTGGTGTTTCTTCTGAGATCGCCCTGTAGTGGTAGGTGCTGCTTTTGCAGGCAGGGAGTTCAGCCATGGTGTGGTCCCCAGCTCAAAGACTTATCCAGCCTGTAAGGGGCATGTGCAGCTCTTCAGGTCAGAGTCTTCCATTCCTTCTAAAGACGAGTTTCCTTAGTTCTGGGGAGGGCGAACGTTGCTTTTAGAGTCACCCCCTTCTGTCTCTGTGTGTGTTTAGATACCTTTCGTTCACGCTGTGGATAACGGCGCCCAAGGCGTGTAGGTTTCCACGCTCAACAGGTTTTAACCAAAACGAAAGGCAGCCTGTCATGACAAAAAGCAAGTTTTTCAAATGTTTAGCGTCTGTAACAGTTTTTAACTGGAGTTGTAAAAGGAGACATGGATTTCACAAGACATGGTTAATAAATTTTCGAGTAAAGAAGAAAATATAGAACTGTTCATGTGTTCTGGAACTCATGGTTACCATAATTTATTATGGTCACAATTTGACTCAAGTAAAGCTCATCTAAATCCTGTTTATCTTCGTAGAAAAATCTCACTCCTTTGTATAAGTAGTTTTTGGATTTGATCAAACGTTTGATTATCTGGAGGATTAAATATACTTTTAGTGTGATTTTTAAAATAACGGATAATAACATGAATAAACTTTCACATCAGTTTTGGCAGAAATAAATTATAATTACAGATCAGTCTTGGACATTTAACTGAGCAAGAACCAGAACATAATACTAGTTGCATATTTTCACACTTCATTGTATATTACCTTTAAAAGTGGAAGATATGTAAGATACACTTCCACAAGTAGTGCATTTTTGTATCTTTTGACTTTGAAACTTAAAGAGGAGAGTTTTTCTTTTAAAAACTTTTATTACATTTTGATTTTTGGATAAAATACAACCAGAGTTTTCTGTGGTGTATGATCTTATGCAGAATAAAGTTTGCTAGCCAACCTGAAATCATTGGGTAAGGCATGTCTAATATGAGATCACAAGTATTCAAAAACAGATTCTAAATACCTTTTTGAGGAAACAGGACTTTTAAACTTAAAGGTATTTGCACATATTTAGGGTCAGCCTGCGGGATGCATAAATATATAGCTAATGTTCCCATAATATGTACATACTTGTGGCTAATGTCGCAATCCAGTACATTTAGGCATATTTACAGCCAGACTCTATACATGCTTGCTGTGATTTGTTGGACTGAATGAGAAGTTGCACCTAGTAAGCATGCAATGAGTTCCAGATCCAAACAAACTGATTTCAGGAAGGTGAAGGCTGCTTCACTGCATAAACAGTGATCAAAGGTATTCAGTCTTCTGCACATCTATTTGTTAAATTCTGTGGGATTTTCTTCTGGTTAAACATGCATAGTATCAAGCCATATCACTTATTCATATTCATACTGACATTGGAGAAGCCTTATTACATTTCTGAGGGAATAACAATAATATAAAGTGAAAACTTCAGTCCTGATCACTTTCTAATGCTGGGGAACAATTACAGTTTCCACTGAAAGTGGGATTTGCCTGAGAGATAGTTGCAGTTCTCATTGATTTTAGTATGGCATGCAACTTGATCCTATGAAGGGATCATAGGGGGAAATAACCACATAGTTCAACTGCACACGATCCTTGGGAAGTCCTTTATGGATTGCAGCTACAAGTGGTGCCTCGCTAGACAGTTACCCTGCATGACAGTTTTTTTCGCTAGACATTGGCTTTTTGTGATTGCTATAGCAATTTGCAAAACAGTGATTCCTATGGGGGAATTCCACTGGACAATGTTTGCTCCCTGCTTTGCAAACTGATTTTCGCTAGATGACGATTTTGACAGCTCTCTCCGCGCTCGCAAACAGGTGTTTTCAGGACCTAAGCTTCGCAAGACAGCGATTTAAACAACTGATCGGCGGTTCGCAAAGCGGCTTTCCTATGGCCTATCTTCACTAGACAACAACAATTCTTCCCCATTGGAACACATTAAACAGGTTTCAATGCATTCCAATGGGGAGATGCTTTTCGCTAGACAATGATTTCGCTAAACAGCTATTTCAGTGGAACGGATTATCATAGTCTAGCAAGGCACCACTGTATATACCCTAAACCTATGCTGAAATGGGGTGCAGGCACAGCTGTAATCCTATGCAGAATTAAGGACATCAAATATACCCTAATTGCTTGGGTGAAGCTGATTTGGAATAAAATTGTAGCCTTGTCCTATCTGGTTTTCTCTGGATTACACTGAAACACATTTTTTTAAAAATAGTTGCTAAATTGTTAATTTTTTTAAGTTCAGTAATTTATTCAAACATAACATTTGTGGACTCTTAATAAAATGAAACTTAATAAAACTTCAGTTCTCTAAGGATTCCTGGCAAACCCTAGGTTCACATCAGTGTTGGTAAAGGACTGAGAAATATTCCAGTGCCAAGTATTGGTCATACTTCTTTTTAAAACTGCATTTCTCTGGCAAAGAAAAAAAGTATCCTAGTGAAAATGCAGCATTACATTTGTTATGGCTTTGTGTGAAGCTTCTAATATTCACATTCTTATCCTCCCTTTCTTGCTGGATACAGTTGCATGGTTTTAGAGGGATGGGTAGTCAGTAGGAGCTTCACTAAAATATGTCATCTCCCTATTCTCTGAAACGACTATTCCAGTTGCTCAGAATCTGTTGGTAAATATGTTAGTTATACTGTATTACCATTAATAGTGGATTATGGTATATAGATGGTGATACCAGAGTCAGTCTTCTTAATATTCAGCCAAGAACTTTTCAGTGCTTTTTCTAGCATCCATGCTATTCATGCAGAGAAGTGAAAAAATCTAGATGTTGTCATATTCTAATTCACCTAAGGCATTGGTTTTGAACTTTGGGTCCCCAGATATTCTTGGATTGCAACTCCCAGAAATCCAGAGACCCGAGATTTGGAACCACTGTCTTAAGGCCCAGCCAGCATGACCTGTACTAGGGACTTTTTGGAAGTTAAGTCCAGCAACATTGGGAAAACAGAGGTTCACAGTGATACAGTAAATACCAAGAACTCTGGTTTCTGACATCGCATAAATACTGAAATTATAGGTAGGAATTTATTGTTATGAGGTGAGGTCACTTTGGAATTGCTAGTGTATACTTGGTATAACTAGGAAGAGGAAGGTGTTTAATGCAGCTGTTTTCTTTTAGACTGCAAATTTTGTTTCTTTCGGAGTTTGTCCATCCAACCGGTTCAGCAGAGGAAGATTCCAAACCGGTACCTTGGCCAACCTAGCCCTTTCACACACCCACATCTTCTCAAACTAGGTAAGGATCATTTTAATATAGTCCTAAGCACATTTACTTAGAAGTAAGGTCTCCTACATTCAACAGGATTTACTCCAAAGAACACACACTGCTGTAGAATTCATGATGTCTTTGCATTGCTACAAAGAAACAACATGTAAAGGAAAACAAATTTTTGTGGTATTTCTCTGATCTCTTATGAAAAGTACTTTTTAAAATTTTTAAAAAGACATCATATGTGTCTGTATTTGTATGGGTATAGGTAACATATACATCAATTGAGCACAGGTATGGCCACTTCACCACCTGCTGATATAAAAATAACCTCCTTCTATGTGAGCTAGTTCATTCCAAGTCCATTTTGGAGGCTCTGGGTTCTCCCACACACACACACCAGAGATGTGGCAGTGACGGTCAAAGCATTTCATGGAACATCAATCTCTGTATTCACTAGCCTTTAAAAAGGAAGTGAAAGGAATTTTCTTCTAATAGACTTTTTGCTCATCCTAGTGATGTGTTTCAATCTGTTTTGCTATGCTGTTGGTGTTCTTTATATATCTTTGTCTTTTACGTTTTATTTATTGCCAGTTCATGCCAAAACGTTCCCCATAGCAAGCGATCAAATATTTTTAGTAAGCACGTGTTACATTATGGTTTGTTGGTGGAGGGGGCACTTCTGCTTTTTAATTCAAACTGAGTTCCAGATTCATAAAGTGTTTTTCTTTATTTTAAAAAAGTATGCTAAAATGTTGTTTGAGTAGAAATCATGTGCATACTTTTAATCATACAATAGGGCTTCTTAAAGCTTGGCCAATATCATGTAAAATCCTGGTTCCTTAAAACTCATCAATGTTATGGTTGATTTGAGTTTGCCATGTATCTGTAACTTTTAGTTGAATCAGTTTATTAAAAACATAAGAAGAGTCTTGTGAATCATACTGATGTACATAATATGTACCTAAATGTCTAATCCAGCATCATATTTACCACAAGAGGTAGTTAGATATTTCAAAAAAGACTGGGACATGAAGGTAAATAACTGGCATCCTATCTCTGAACATGAAGTGCTGAGTCATTACCATTCCTTCACAGTAACTTGAATCCACAGCAGTGTTGTGGCAAACTTTTGGGGGGGCAACAGAACATCTGCTAATGGAGATGTGGGAGGCAGTTTTTACACACACAAAAACCCCTCTTTCTGGCAGCCACAGTAGCCAGACTTTATACTGTTCCAGATGGTCCCCCATTCTTTCTGGGCAGATTTTTGTGAATGCTGAACTGTGGAAGGAGATGGGGAACTGGAGGTAAATGTCTTCCCTTTTATATGTACAGAATCTTTTTATGAGATCCAGTCAAACATATTGTACCTAAAAACATTTGAAAATATCATGTACATATATAAAATAGGTAATATAAACATGTTTTATGCTCATGTCTTTAACATTTTTACTAATATTACTAAGAATGTTTCAAGGTCTTAACAGAATGATTCTAAGTACACTTGAGATAAGAGCAAACAATACAGTTCTTACATTAGTCACATGAATTAAGTCTTATTATTTTCAGATGCATTTAGGAGTGAGTAACTGATTACAAGACTGTGATCTTAGATTATAGCAAGAAAGTACCTTATTTGCCATCAGGATCTCTTGTGTGTTTAGTCCAGTGTTGTTGAAAGACCTCGTCTCCTATATTTACATTTTTTGCAGATAAAATGTGGTTGAAAGATTAAATCTGAAGTTCCGAGAAAATGAATGGTTCCTTGGAGCTATTAGGTACATAGATTAATATTAAGAACAGTCCCTCTTATTATTTGGTGTTTGATTTAGTGCTTCTTGCTGAAATCTTCATCAGATAATCAAATATTCCTCATAACATCACCCTAAAAGGGTATGACCATAATTACTTTCTGTATAAGTTTGCCTTTCTAATTCTTCTCCCTCCCCCATAATCACCTTTTCTTATAATCTAAAAATTACTAGTCTTATGTCAGTTTTAGTTCTGAATTACCTTGAGAGTGTCACGTTTTCCCACTAATCTTTTCCCACTACCTAGTTAACTTAAAATGGAGATTCCCCCTTATATGACTAAGCAGTATGCTGGAGATGTGGAGATATTGTAGTGAGGAAAAGAACAATGAAAAGCAGGGAAAGAGATATGAGGTGAAATAGAGAACCAGTGGAAAGGTTCAGTAACATGCTAGATATGGAAGATGTAGAAAGATATTGAATGCTAAAGACCAGGTTTAGTAACAAAACAATTTCTTTTGATTTCTGTTCATAGGTGAAGTAACACCAGGGTTATCACAAGTGGAATATGCTCTCCGAAGACACAAGTTAATGGCTCAGTTACAGAAAGAAGTGCCAGGCATGGACCACACAGTGATTGTGCTCTCCAATCCCACCTACTACATGAGTAATGATATTCCATATACCTTCCATCAGGACACTAATTTTCTATATCTGTGTGGGTTCCAGGAGCCTGACAGCATCTTAGTGCTGCAGAGCATGCCTGGCAAATCCTTACCATCTCACAAAGCTCTACTATTTGTCCCACGGAGAGATCCAAGCAGAGAGCTGTGGGATGGGCCACGGTCTGGTACTGATGGAGCACTGGCTCTCACAGGTGTAGATGAAGCATATACCATAGAAGAATTCAGACACCTGGTGGCTAAATTGAAAGGTAAGAGAAAGCAGACAAAGGATACCATATTGGAATTATATATGATTTGGGAGGGCCTCTTAAGCTATTGAGCTCTTTGCTCACACATTAAGTATGCAGGGAAGGAAGGGTGAAAACCTTTACCTCTAACATCTTGCTTGCAAATAAACCAATGCTATCCCCCAGCAGAAAAAATATTTCAGGAAAGCTATATAATCTTGTCAATATTTCATGTTTCTCTTGTGGTTGTGTGATAGCTTTTGGGTGAGTGATCTTCAATCAGGTAGTAGAAAACTAAAATAATTAGTTTTATATAGGGTCATTTTGTGGTAATTATGTTAACAGAGTGCAGCGAGGCTGCGAAGGAGAATTTATGGTTATGAACCAGAAATACATAAAATCCTCATGGTAAGGTAAAAAGAAAAACTTACATTTCTTGTTTCAAGTAAATAATTCAGAATAAAATAGGAAAAAAAATCTAGACTTCAGTACAGAAGCCCAGCTTCTATGCATACAAATGTGCTAGAAGTCAACATTGAGGCACAATCAAAGCCAGCCTTCCACTGCAGAAGAAGAAATAACTCAGCTATTTTCTTGAACTAGGGGAAAGTGGTCTAAGGAGAAAGGGATCTAAAAGCAGCACTCTGCTCTTAGTGAGTGAAAGATGCTCAGTCCTAACTGCTATTGTGCACCCCTGCACTTAATCTCAAATACTAATTTCTTAAATTTCCATTAACACTTGTGTAAGTTCCCAGGGTCCATCAAGTCCACAAGGTTCATCTTCTTATGTAAGACTTGGAAGTGGTCTCTAGGAAGTGTCTTAGTGAATGTCTTCAATTATGTCTCTTGAGAGAACATAGGCTTTGGTTCATATCTTTCTTGACATGCTTGAGCAGCTGACATATACTCTACTTCAATAGATGAGACTGCTTCTGTGCCTTCCTTGTTTCTTCTCCAACTAACTCTTCTACCTCCAGGGAAGAAGTAGTTCCCACTAACGGAGTTGTGAGATTAATGGTGTCACAAACCCAATATGCAGTGTGATAGCCACTAATTTGGAAATGTTCGTGGTTTACAGTCTTACACTGAAAAGTATCTACCTGCTCTTTTTCACTGCGCTCCAGACTCTGTTGCTTAGTGAATTGGAAGTGGTTTCTACACAAACCTCTAGGGTTCTAGTCCATTATTAAAATTGTATGATTGTCAGTAAAGTGTACTATTTAACTGACAAATTCCACTATTTCATGTTTTTGACATTTGAACAACTCTACTTATCTTGTTACATCATTCCAAGTTGCATTTTAAAATGACACTCATTTTCTCTCTCTTCTAACTTCTTCAGTACACTTACCCTTTACACCATTACTTCATCTTGTTTACTTTCATGCAAAACACTCCCAGACACATGAATGAAATACTTCAAGCAGCTTTATCTTATCAGTAACCATGTTCCCAAGCTCCACTGGGAAGCAGCAGATTGTTTTTGGAAACAAGTGGCTCAAAGCCACCTTTTGACAGAACTTTCATTTTTAAAGCAACAATTCAGCAGTTCCCATCATCATTTTGACTCCTTTTAAACTCAATTTTTCAAACTTTGACAACTTGGAGTGAGTCTAAACCCTACCAGGTTGTGACCTATGCTTGACAATGGAGCTGCACAGAGCTCTTCCACCTCCAGATCACCAGCATCCTGCCCCGCACAGAAACCAAGTCCAGAATTTGCTCTGCAGTGTGGGCAGGGCCAGATACTATTTGGAACAGATCCATTGTTATTACGGGAGGTCATAACGACCTGAGCCACTTCTGACAAGGTGGTCTCAGCATAAAAGTGTTGAAGTCTTCCAGCACCAGCAGCCCAGGAGACTCCAGCACCACTACTGATACTTATCTACTTCAGGAAGGAAGACAGCTGAGCAGTATGGTGGATAGTATACTAACAAAAGCTCTTTATCTGTCCTGAATATCCCCCTTTTGGTTTATACACTCAAACTTGGCAGACTGTAGGACAGGACACCTGATAAGCAGGGTAGAGTCATGATACACCATTGCAGCTCCACCTCTGTACCTTTCTTGCCTTGACTAATGCTGCACAGAGAACTGGTGGGTAGAGCTGGGAGAAATTAAGCCTGCCAGCTTCATCTAACTAGCTCTCTATAGAACAAGCAACATCAGCACCTTCATCCAAGATCACATCCTGAATGATTTTCTTTACACCAATCTAGTGTTTAGCAGTAGCAGCAGTTCTAACCTGGGAGCCTGCTGCCAAGGCTATCCACTGTGTTTGAAATGGTGGACAGCCAAGATTCAGTTGTGTACCCCTCTTTCATAGTACCTTGCTGCTGCCCCCCACCATATCTCCCTCTGGCCGGAAGTATTTTAATGACATCTTCCTGGTTTATTTCATCTCTCTCCCTCTTCTGGCAATGCATTTCTCCCAAGGCACAAAATAATCTGCAACTCTAGTACAAGTTACAGACAGGACTGGCAAAGGTTGATCCAACGGCAATTACAGAGTCCTTTCCCTTGGTTCTACACCACAACAAAGTGGCAACTCCCTTTGCAGTGCCCCTGCCTTTATATCCCCCAGCTCCAAAGCAGTGATGCAAGGTGAGAGAGGAATGGCAGGGAGATATGGAGTCATCAAGCCCAGGGTTCTAAGTCCCTTCCACCAGCTACAGAAAGGGAGGTACAGACCTTGCCCACTCCATCCCGAGTTACAAAAGAACAAAGGGGTACCGATACCCGGGATTTAGAAGTCAAAATGCGCAGGTTAACGGTAGCCGTTCAAACGGAAGAACATTTGGTGGGAACAGGTAGGAAAAAGAGGGTGGAGATTGAGGCGGGGACGGTGGAGATAAAAAGAGAAGAGAGGGGATTACCCCCAGGTTGGGAATGGATCTGGGCACAAGATCCCTGGACTGGAGAGTGGGAAAGACTCCAGGTGCCCAGGGAGGAAGCGGACTACTGGTGGAGATAGGAGATTCCCCTGCGTCCGTCCTACTGGGGTGAGGCAGAGGCTTGTGAGTGGAGGAGCCAACTGAGAGAGGAGAAAGAGAAGGTAGAACAGGAAAAGTAAGAGAGATGGAGATGGAGAGTAGAGGAGGTACGGAGGAGGGAGGCGCAACGAGACCCTGAACTCTGTTCCCCGGAACCCAAGATGCCGAGTGGGAAGGAGCCAGTGAGGACGAGACTGTTCCTTTCCTGGAAGGAGAGGACGTCGAGATACTAAAGGAAGATCCTCTCTGTGGCTGGCCAGGTCCCTGGGATCCAGAAGAAATGAACCCGTTTTTGGTTAATGCAAAAAGAACCTTGTCGGACCCGTTGGCAGCAGGAGAAAAGTTATGGGACAATTTCATAGATAAAGAATTCTTTTTAAATACTCGAATAAATATTTCCCCTGTTACAAAGTTACCTAAGTCTAAGGATGTTTTTGTTTTAAAAATTGAACCCTCACACTGAGACACAGTGGTTGTATAGGATATGGAACAATGGAGTATACGGTAAAGTTGACTAATACAATTGAGTCTGTGAACGTAGTCAATAAGATAACTGCTTTATACCCTGTTTCCCTGAAAATAAGACCTAACCTGAAAATAAGCCCAGGACAGTATGATTTTTCAGGATGCTCGTAATATAAGCCCTACCCCAAAAATAAGCCTGTTAAATGAAACCCCACCCTCCACCATTGTGCAGCAACCAGAAGGAGACATGAACAACAATCTACATTGTACAATGTACATCATGTACAACAATCTACATTTGAATAAATGTAGATTGTTATACATGAAAAAAATCCCCTGAAAATAAGCCCTAATGTTTTTTGGAGCAAAAATTTTCGGGGAAACATCCTAACAAAATGATCTTTATTCATATTCCATTGGAAAGATAAAGTCCAGTGTAAAATGAGCCTGCATAAATGTTTGTGCATAATATGATGGAATTAAGAATGCTGGGAAGAAAAGCCCAAATGAAAATAAAAATATTATTATAGAGAGAGTATTAAATTAAATTAAATTTGACCCAACTCCGGGAGGCAGTGGAAGACAGGAGGGCCTGGCATGCTCTGGCCCATGAGGTCACAAAGTGTCGGACATGACTTAATGACTAAACAACAACAAAGTTATATCAAAGTTGAAGCCCATGTGCTGGACTGTTCATTTTTGTTTTGATCTCCTATTCTTTGTCACATTTGAGTGAAATTTTTATGTTCTATTTTATGTTTCTTTCTATCCTTTACCTATTTGCATGAAAATGTATGTAAAAATAATAAAAATAATTTTGAAGATAAATATCAATCAATGTCCCATAAATTTATAATTGCATTAGAAGTTTAGTGAAGATATAATTCTTCAAGATTTCTTCCAACTACCAGATATTTGTGGTTCAGGAGGAGTTTGCAAGTTCTGAATTCACCAAATATATTTGATTACTTAAAATAATATATTTGCATTCTGTTTCACAGATGAATCTAGTATGGTTTGGTATGATTTTGCTAAACCTGTGCATCCACAGCTCCATTCTGATTACCTGTTACACCTGGCTGAGGTCAAAGCTAGAAGCAAGAATCGTATCCAAGCAATCCGTCAACTAGTACAAAACTTACGCTTGGTCAAATCTCCTGCAGAGATTGAGAGGATGAAGATTGCTGGCAAGGTGACATCACAGGTATGAGACAATACAGTTATGCTCAGTGATATCTTAAAATTAAAACTGGCGTAGTGCTGAAGTTCTTGCTAAACAGGAAGTAAAGTACATGTCACATTTCTAGTGGTATCCTTTTAGGGATTTTCCAGAAGTTAGTGGTCCTAGCAAAATGTTGTATCTCCCAGTTTTGTGATAAATCATCCATAGACAAACATTACAAAAGTCTGATTGTAATCCTTAATAGCTAACACAGTGCAATTAAATTGTGCATGAATTATTGCAATAAAATAACTAGTTGGCAAGAGGGAGAATTAAATGTCTTAGAAACTTCTCATTATTGCTTAGTTTTACAACTGGAGGCAAATTTCTCTTAGAACATAGATCTGCTGACTTCCTATGGTTGGTTTAAGGCCTAAGGATTTGACATGACTGTTAATGATGTTGGTTAGTAGCAGATGAGACTTTTGTAAATCTGTAAGGATCCATTATGACTCTATTATGTAAATCACCACTGATGTCAAGATAAAAAAATTGCTTTTGAAAACAACCTGTTTAAATACAGTCCTTTTATGCTTTAAAACTTTTCAAAGTTCGTAGCTCCTACATGTTATGAACCTTAATAAATACCAATAGGTAATTTCATTTGAAGATGTAAGAGGAATAAAGAGGGAACAAAGACCACAATGTGCCAAGTTTTTCAGACTCACAATTTCGTATTCAGAACACTGCATGATTTCCTGTGGCTAACTGATGATATGTTAGGGTGCTTCTTAGCTCTTTGCATAGTCATATGCCCAACTGTGGAACTCAGATGTATCTTGGCTCATAAATTAGCTGCAGCAATTGACACAGATCTTACACAAACACCAATAGAATTGTGGTCTATGTACTCTGAACTGCATTCTAAATTTCTTGTTGCTGTTTTAACTCCTTTAAACAGAGCCCCTCCTCAGAAGAATCATGCTAAAGTTTGACAGAAATTTTTACATAAACTTACTAGATTTCTCTTCCTCCTTTAGCAGCCTCAAGAATCTGAGAAAAACTGTTTCAAATCTAGTGATAATTGAGATACTAATGTTTTAATTTGATAATTCTGTTTATATAATCTGCCAAACTAGCAGTTTAAAAGCATGTAAATGCGAGTAGATAAATAGGCACCACCACGGTGGGAAGGTAACGGTGTTCCGTGTCTAGTCACGCTGGCCACGTGACTACGGAAACTGTATATGGACAAACGCTGGCTCTACGGCTTGGAGACGGGGACAAGCACCGCACCCTAGAGTCAGATGCGACTGAACTAAATGTCAAGGGGAACCTTTACCTATTTATATATTAGTTTATTATACACTTCATTGTTTCAACAATAAAAGTACATTGGCAGTGTTGCGACTTATACTTCTGTTTACTTCAAAAATTATTATTAGCCATTAAAAAATTAAGACATATACCAGTCCTTGAAAAAAACACATTAATCTGCTGGTAGTTGATCCAGCGTTTTTCACTGCAAAATATTGCAAGAGGGTAAATAAATCACTGCATTGCGCTGCTACATGTAATATTTTATCTAATATAATAAGTATAAAATAAAGTTCTTGTTCCGTTCCATAGTACTTACTCACTACAGGCTTGTATTGGTGTTTAACAGGCATTCATAGAAACAATGTTTGCAAGCAAAGCTCCAGTGGAGGAAGCATTCCTTTATGCAAAGGTATGTGCTTTGTTGGGTTATGAGAAAGCATCATCGTTCACAAAGCTGTTGTGGTTTATTGTTGTTGGGAAGTACCAGTTGTGTGAATTCATAGATGACCACTCAAATCACAGTTACAGATGAGTGACCTGTCCTTTTCCTTATTTCCAACTTAATTATTCCAGTTTGAATTTGAGTGCCGGGCCCGTGGTGCTGACATCTTGGCTTATCCCCCAGTGGTTGCAGGTGGCAACAGGTCCAATACCTTGCATTATGTGAAAAACAACCAGCTCATTAAGGTAAAGAAACAGATTCTAATACTTCTCACTGCAGTGTACTGATATTTTGCCTCTATGAAATCCTGCACAACTTCAGATTTTGCTTTGCCATACCTGGAACAAAAGATGTGCATCAAATTTTTGCAGTAACAGGTAGGTATTTGTGCAAATGAATATGCATATGACTGAAATCAGAACAGAAATGAAATGTATTACTCAAAACCTGGTAGCAGAAAAAGTTTATATTATGCCAAACTGTACAAAAGTGCCTGTGTCACAAAAATGTACAAAGAAAAGTGTATGAATTTTAGTGCACACTTTAAAAAATAATCATAAAATGTTGCAGAAACTGAGGCTGGAAAAGCAAGAAACAAACATTGTCCAGCAAGAAACAAAGAGAAACTAAATAGAAGAGATGATGAAAAGGAAGAGTAGGACTGTAGACTCTTTTAAAAAGGATTATACAATCCTACTCCTGAATTTTTAGCTCAATATTGCAAGATTCAACTGTTCCACTCACTCAAGAGTACAGTGGTGCCCCGCACCACGACGATAATTCGTTCCCCTGAAATCGCTGTTAAGTGAAAACATTGTCCAGCAAAAACAGTCTCCCCTTTGGAATGCATTGAAACCCATTTCATGCGTTCCATTGGGGAAATTACCTCATTGTCCAGCGAAGATCGCCCATAGGGAAGCCATTTTCCGAGCACCAATCAGATGTTAAAATGGCTGCCCTGCAAAGCATGGGTCCGGAAAACACAGGGCAGCCATTTTGCAGAGGCGGAAAAATCGTCATCTTGCGAACAAACAGTTCGCGAAGCACAGTCCTAATCATCGTCAAACGAAAATCCCCCATAGGAAACATCGTCTTCCGATTGCTTTAGTGATCGCAAAAAAGTCATCGTCCAGCAGATTTGTTGTTTAGCGGGGCCATCGCCATGCGGGGCACCACTGTACTTCTGTCTGCCCTACATCCACAGAAAAGGACTGGTTCTCTCCTGGAAAGCAAAACAAAACAGAACAAAAACAAGGATGTGATTTATTTATCCTTGAGGATAGCAAGGTAGTATAAAAATATATAGTAGTTTAAAAAAATATAAACTCCAAAATATGTCCTCAAAAGAAAGGAGCAAAGAGACTAAAAAAGCTAAGCAAAATGAGCACAGACAGAGTTCTGATTCCTGTCCTCTGAAGATGCTGGCTACAGAGACTGGTGAAACGTTAGGAAGAATGAATGAATTTATTTATTACGGTTGGGTAACCAGCTCATAAAACATATTATGGCTATAATATACAAAATTCAGTTTAAAAATGTACAATCAGTTCATAAACATATTATGTGGTTAAAATATACAAAATGCAATTTAAAAAGTGTACAGCCAGTTCATAAAATATATGGTTAAATATACAAAATGTAATTAAAGTGTACAGCAAATAATTAATTGTGTACTGGTTGTAAAATATGGGGAGAATCAAATACAGCATTTTTATAGCTATCCTTTGAACCATTGGATCGTCTAGGGCAAACTGGTTTGGACAGGGTCTTTGGGTTATAGGGAGTCCTTCCTACGTATTTGTAAAGATCTGTAAGTATTTCTTCCCTCCAGTAGGGACCACAGTATTTCTCTACGCTCGACAATATACCACCCTCATGCTGAAACCAGTCAACTTGTGAACTCAGGAGATTATAAGGGAGCGCTGTGCCATTGCTGCTGCACACAATTTTGCTGCAGAGCATGTAATAAGAGAGTCTTGATCAGAAAGAAGTAGCTCGATGTAAAATTCATCAGGTCTCCTTGGGTATCTGAGAATGATTGGGCTCAGGAGATTGGTACATAGATTTCTATAGAAAAGACAGTACAGTAAGATATGATCTACAGTTTCCACTTGGCCATCATTACATGGACAGAGACAATCCAAGATAGGTATGTGTTGAAATCTTCCCTCCATGAGCTTGGTAAAAAGTTAGGAAGAAAAACCTTAAGAACATGGCCAAAGAGCCCAGAAAACCTGCAACAACCATCAGATCCCAGCCGTGAAAACCTTCAAGAATACATTAAGTAAAAAGACTTGACAACAAAAAGGATTTAATCTGGTTCTGAAACAACTGGAGTGTTAGTGCCAGTTGCTCCTCTTTGGAAGGATATTCCTCATTTGGGGTGGCACAAGTGGAAAGTGTCTCTCCCTTGTTGGCAGTAAATCCTATTCAGGTGTTCTTGAAGTATGTATTCTCCCCATGTGATAATGGGAGCGCACCAGCCCTTCCCCCTCTGTTGTCACTTTGAATGTGAAATACAGCAGTTATTAGGGAAGAGGGTGCTGTATCCACAAAAACTCCCCTTAGTAAACAGAACATGGAAACAAAATTGGGGTTTTGGCTTAAGTGGAGAACCTCCAGAGATAGAACATCCTACCACCCTTAAGATTGTCACCCTTGTGTGTGGAAAGATGAAGGAAGGAGTAAAAACTGCAACACTTTCTTTATTCCCTGAGAGGAATGCACGTTTTAAAAACCCTTGTATATAAAGCTTTAGTGCACAGAGAGTACTTTAAGGAGAATCTGCCCCTGAAATCACAGGCAGGCTGATACTGTCATACAGATGCACTGAATGTGGTACTCTATGGGAAAAAAACCAGGGAGATGGATTGATTTACGTATTTCTAAATGGCAAAACTAACTATCTATCTATCTATCTATCTATCTATCTATCTATCTATCTATCTATCTATCTATCTATCTATCTATCTATCTATCTATCTACCTACCTACCTACCTACCTACCTATCTACCTACCTACCTACCTACCTACCTACCTACCTATCTATCTATCTATCTATCTATCTATCTATCTATCTATCTATCT